GTTCGCTGTTCTTTGTTTATGCGGGAAATGCATAAGTCGCTTAAACAGAAGCTAACAAAATGACCATGATTTGATCTCCAAACCTTGAAAATTTAAAAAAATTATATGCACTCCGTGCAAAGGTCGGTCAACCTGGTACTGAATATAAAAAGTACCTACATTACATTGTTTTTATGCTATCACCCACTAAGATTGTTCTACATGGAAAAAAATACATACTCCTGTTTTTTTTTCAAATCCAAAAATATTAAGAGGTCGCTCAAAGCGCTCAACGTTTTACATGCGTTGTACACTGAGAGAAATAATGCATAGTAAAAATTAATACTTTATTTTTGATTATCGTTTAAAAATGTTCATATTTAAAAATAATATTTTCATACAAAAATTTATTACGCACGTAAATATTTGACTGTTCACATCTGAGTATGAAGTGTAGGTACGCCTCCCAAGCATGCAGAGCGGCGACAACACACATAGTACAGGTATATCCGTACAAATCGCGTGCTGTGGGGCTGATGGAAATTCAACATTTGAAAGCAAATTTATATTTCTGGGTGTGGCTGAGTGCGCAAAGATGCTTGCCAGAATTTGTTGATATCCAAAGATGGTCAGGGTTCGAATTCCACTGCGGGCAACATGCAAATTTTTTTTTTTAAGTTTTTGTCTTGATTATTCAATTCACGGATGCTTTTTCAGACCGAACGCGGTCCTTTTAATATGCGCGAAATTGAATTGAATATTTACCAACATACAGTACTTTCGTTGACGTTTATAGTAAGTTCAATTACGTTTTTAATAGATTTAATATTTTTTCCCTCAGTAGTTTTCGTAAAAATGGTATACAACACTTAAAAATCAATATTTTTCAATCGCAAACAGAGTATTTCTCTTCAGGAGATTTCAAAAAATAATACTTTTCATTTAATTTTAATATTTTTATTGAGGTTTGTACCACGATTATTTTATTAGTAAAAGTTGAAAAAGCAACAAAGACTAAGCGGTAGAAGTTATAGCAGCTATTTCGGATACTTAGCATTTTCCAGGTTTTTGGGGACCCATAAAAAAAGTTAGTATTACAAAATGGTTAAATAAACAATTGGGTATTAGTCCTTGAAGTCGTCTAAAGTGAAAAAGATTTTACCGGTTGCAAAAATTGTTTTTTTCAAAGATTCTATACTATTTGAATGATATTTTTTTCCATACAACATACAAGAGGAACTTTGAGTGCTTTGAGCGACCTCTAAATATTTTTTGATTTCAAAAATAAAATTGTAGGTACCTTTTTTCGATATACGTGGAACAATTCTAAGAGGTGAGCGCGTTAAGATTCCAACTTTACTTTCTATGTACCACCCTAATCCACAGTGTGTTTAATGGGAGTATGAAATTATTTACTTCTAGGAATTCGCTAATTTCGTAACAAAAAAAAACGTTGGTACGACGTTTGAACAAAATTAGTTACAAATGTGAAAAGGGATTTAAAGCCATATTCCCTCTGCAAAAAATGCCATGTGCTTCTGCTCAGAAATAGTTGAATAATACGGAGGTGTTTGTTAATAAGTGGGTAAATCCGTACAGCGAAGAAAAGAGCGTCGTCAACTTCTTGAGCAGTAGCCTTGAAAAGCGCCACAGAAACTCAAAATGAGAGGGTAATTGATTTTTTTTTGAAAACCTGAAACAGATTTGGAAAAGTGGGTTTGACATATGTACAAACATACATATTTAAAATCACCATTCGCAAATAGTACGCGCGCACCTTTTCGTTGATACAGCAGACTTTTGTGATCATTGGGGCCTCCAGAATCCGTGCCTTGCCGCAAAAGCTGGTCGATTTCCACAGTTTTGGGTGACACCAGAAGTATTAAAATCCATACGTTGTGTCGTCGCCCTTACGTGTCCTTATGGCGGGCAAATTGCCACCTCCAGCCAGTAGCGCACTATTATGCACTAATTTTAAACATGTATAATTTTAAAATGACTCGACGAAAATTTTTATCACAATCAGATTTATTAATGCATTCACCTTTGCATTACCAGTTATGAGCCACCCACCACCAGAGTGTTAGCGATACGCATACCTTTACACACCCTAATACTTATGTATTAGCCCACATCATTATTGCACCAATGCCCCTGTGGGTCATTGACAAAAGTTGGGAAGCCGCCAAAAAACCAGGCAAATATTTATGGCGAAAAAGTTGGCAGTCACATACCCACTCGTACGCTCACATCCACACGCAGACGCACATGTGTTAACTCGAAGACATAAATAATTGAGTGAATCAACGAAATCAACACAATCAACGAGGCGGCACTTCATTTGCAAATGCTACCAGCAAAGGGAGCGATAAAAACTTAAAAAAAAAATGGGTGAAAAACTTATTTACGTAGTTTTTGCCGAAATGGTTTTCATTGCCATGGTGAGAAGGAGTGCAAAAAAGGATACATTTAACAGAAAGGAACATTAAAAACGAAGAACTAAGTATTGTAAAAATATCTTTAAAGCATAGGAATCTCCCCTGGAATTGCATAAAGGCAAACGAATCGATTTCATTGGCAGCGCATGAATAAACTATATGTATGCGCAGACAACTTTCGCCTGCTCCTTTTCCCGCCCCACACGCAGCTCCAGCTGCCATACGAAATGGGTTGCCGAAAGCAAAAACTCTACTCGACGCTCTACCATTTAACATTTAAATATTTATACAACTTTATGCAAGTTCATATTCAGCAAAACCAAAAAGCGTTGCAACCAACAAAAAAAAAAGACACACAAACACTTTGGCAGAAAGTAAATGTTGTACGCAAATATGCAGTTGCCAGCGGAAAAAGTTATGAAAGCAGAAAGGAGGGGTGAAAAACATCTAAAAGTGTCGGCATTTGTAAGAAATTGTACGTGGTAGCAATCCACATGTGAGTCTGAGTGTCAGTGGCAGTGCGTGTTTGGCTGGGTTATTGCAAGGGATGCAAAAACTGGTTGAATCGACACAATTGACCGAAAATATGATTTATTATAAATTTTTGTGCGTTTTAAGTGCAGGCGATTGCGAGAAAGAAGGTAGAAGGAACAGCAGCAGACACTGCTGTCATCACAATTACCAATGCCACCAGTAAATTTACAGCAACTGAGCAAATAGTGTGAGTGGTAGCAGTTGCGAAACTTAAAGGGCGCCAAGCTCTGAAAAAAGGGGAGCGTAAATAGATATGTAATTATTCACAATTCGCAATTTTGAAATCAATATGTATGTATGAGGTTTTATGATATTTTGTATTGTGTAGACAGCGAAATGCATAAATTAGGAGTAAGCTTTTTACTTTGTTTTGTAAAGTCTTAAGTGTTAAGCGGAGGCCGAAAAAATAGAGTTGTTGTACATTTTCGAACATTTTAACATTTTGTTTGTGTTGAATCAACCTAATTTATATACAAAACCACAAAAAAATACTACGTCTGGAACACCCTAGGGATGCGAAACTGCATTTCATTTTCATTTCGCATTACACAAATTTGTAAATGCTTCTGCAGCAACGAGCAGAAAGTTTTCCAAAAAATAAATTAAAACAAAAATATGTATATTTTTTTTCTTTCAAAAATAATAATTAAACTTAAAGAAAAATTTAAGTAAACAAAGCAGAAAAATGTATTACAAAAAAATATATATAAAAATAATTGTCTA